GCGCGGTCAGCGCTGACCCAGCAGGGTGACGCTGGCCTGTCAGCACCAGCTCACCGGTTCGGAAGGAAAGCACGGGTTCTGCTGGGATCGAGGAGAAGGCGTGGTCTCAAATGCTAGATTTATTCTGAAAGACTCCCAAATGCTTTCTGATCATGAAATATTAACGACGCACACTCTCTGTGACTCTCGTCCTGGCTGCTGCACTGACTGCGGTTTTCAAGTAGCTTTTGCAGATGAGAGCTACGTCTACAATCATGACAAGCGCTAATTATTGGCCCAGAATTTCATCTCATCCTCAGCGAGAAGCCAACCGAACAGGGAATGAAAACACAGCACATCCTGTGCATGTCCTCAGGCCCCGTTAACCAAGACACAGCCAGCCCTCCGCGCACAGAAGGAACTACATAAACACAGAAAGACTAACAGGCAGGAGAGAGACGAGCTGTGGCCAGAGGTCCTGGGGCTGCGTCTCTGAGTCAGAAACACCCTCGTTGCGTTTGGCCTTAAACGCGGAGCCTGGTGTGAAAGCTGCCCTGTTCTCCCCGACGATCCACAACACGTCCCGGCGCCGGGAGGGGCGGCTGCGGCCTGGCACCGACAGGACCGGCTCAGCTCCGCGGGCCTTTTACTCGGGGAAACCCCGGGTGAGCCGTTTGCTGGCAAGTGTGTTTTGAAAAGAAATGGGGCGTCAGTAAGTCGGCAGGTGAAAGAGCAGGGCTCCCCAAGGCTGCCGGGCACCCCCCACCCCCACCCCCCGCGACCACAGCCAGCTCACCCGGGTCCCAGGGAGACGCGCAGGGACGCCCACAGCGGCTCCCCCCACCCGCCAGCCGGGTCGGACGCTCTGATCGCTAAACCGGTTTAAGGACTAAGAGAAGCTACAGCTGTGGCCCAATAAAACCATAACATGCGCTTTGCTTCGTGTCGTAAACGGGTTAGTAAATGCTACATGCCTTCCTACCCCCTCTTTATACTTGTGGTTTGTCTGGTCGCCGTTTAAACTTCCGCAATGCTTTCTTTTTTAAAAAAATATTTTTATTGATCAAAGAGGAAGGGAGAGGGAGAGGAACATCAATGATGAGAGAATCACTGATCAGCTGCCTCCTGCACACCCCACACTGGGGATCAAGCCCTCAACCCGGGCCTGTGCCCTGACCGGGAATCGAACTGTGACCTCCTGGTTCCTAGGTCGATGCTCAACCACTGAGCCATACCGGCTGGGCTAACATTTATTTTAATCGTGTCTTTTGGGACGTGTTTATTTCCCTTAAAAAAGGAAACAACAAACATGAATAGTGCAACACCTTCCCCCAGATCTCCACGCAGACTGTTTCTGAGCGTGGGACGGGGTGGGCAGCATGGAGCAGGGGGGGGGTGTGCAGAACTGCTCTCAGCAAGTGCACGGCTTCGGGCCGCCGTGGAGAGCAGAACCCAACCACACCCTCGAGGCAGGAGCTGAGGGTTCGGCACCGATACCCGACCCCGCCCCGAGTTTGGAACAAATGCAAACAATACTGATGTAGAAGCTTCGAGACACAAGAACGCAAACTCTAGAAACTCACACTCACCATCACTCATTCTCCCCGAGAAGCCCAACTGCCTCAGGCAGAGCGGACGCAGCGCATGTGCTTTAGTTGATATTCGTTTATTCTCAACGTTTTGTAAGAATTTTTCGTTTTTCTCGACGACCACACATTCACAGAGCAGGCTGCGGCCATCGTGTTCTACAGAAATAGAGAGTTGCTTAAAAATGTGTACCAAGTTGCTTTTTATTTTCTATAAACACTTTAACAGGAGTTAACATTGAATGCCCAATAGAATCGCTGAAATTAATCCATGTTGTCAAAATACTTCATATGTAAAACTCTAGCAAGAAAGTCCGTCACTTCGGCAACGAAGCGCCCGTTAGTCACTGTCATGCTGTCTTTATAGCTTCGGGGGTGGCGACCGTCGCCGCAGAGCAAGGCCTGAAGCAGAGCAGACACACGCAGCGTCCGCGGCATCGGATGTGGCTCCGGGCGCTGTCACAGGCGGCACCAGTAACCGCTGCCGTGAGGGGATCCCAGACGGTAGTTCGAAGCTCTCACGTCCTAACTGCGCCGGCCCTGGCGCTGCCCCGCGCGCGAACGGGGTTTCAGCTGGAGGGACCTGCGCTTCGTGCGCCCGCGGGGTGACAACCTGCGTCCAGAAACTACAGGGACATTCAGAGTCAAAAATATGTATTTCAAGTTTTAGTTCTTTCTAAAGGAACTCATTTCCAACACAGTTCTCTCATATAAGTGTTTTCCTTTAAAAAAAAAAAAAAGCCAGTGTCCTTGCCAAAGAGCAAGAAAAGAAGAAGAGAAACCGCTGTTTCCGCTCCCCGTACCTAGTGCCTGGGACTTGGTGACGCGCATCCCTGTCACGCCAGCAGCTTTAACGACAAGCACCTGGCCTTCACCTTCCTTCACGTCTTTCACAAATAAGCCGGACAACCTCATGTTATCATGTGGTCACGACTGAGATTTCAATTACCTTCTTCAAACGGTCTCACACCTGAGCCCAGCCCAGCCCAGCCCAGCCCAACCCAACCCCAAGCCTCCCCCCTCCAGCCGCCTCCCTCGGCCACAGACACATGAAAAGGAGGCCAACGGAGGAAGGGACTGGAGCTTTGGGTTTGGGTTCGATTAAATGCGAGTATTCGCCCCCGTGATGTCGAGTTTCTGCTGCTCTCAGGTAGGAACACGCGTGACAGGCAAGTCCCGGAGGAGAACCCAGAAAGGCCACGAGAGGGGCCGTCGTCCTTCTACGTCTGGGCCGCCAGGACCAAAGCAAACTCGTCCTGAGACAGACACGGCAGGAAGCCACGGCCCAGCCCTGGCCAGGCCTCGCCGGCTGGGGCAGGAGAGAGCGGGAGGAGCCTCTGGGTCCCTGCCCTCAGGAGAGGGGCGTCCAGGGCCCGCCCGTGCTCATGAGCGAGCGCGGCGTCCGCTCCGAGGCTGCATATGGACTTTTCGTCACGTCGGTCACATCAGAACGAGGCCCGCTTTGGTGCGGAACAGACACGTCACCTCGGACGTCGGTGCTGCTGCTCTCGGCTCTGAACGCTGGGCTCATTGTGCCAATAAAAATAGTCTGGTTTTCACAGAGACACGCAAGGGGAGCCGAGAGACAGCAGGGCGGGAGCTGCTTCTCGGGGTGCCTCCCGCGGGTTGCGGGGCGCCTGGCCGAGCGTCTGGGAGGAGGCATTCACCGCTCAAGGAGCTCCGTAAGACCTGCCTTACACCCACTGTGCAACGGAAAAGGCAGTGATTTGATAAAATGCTAAAAATAGAAATAAAGTGACGTCCGAGGAACCTACACATGCAGAAGGGACTTCCCACGCCTGAACTCACCCACGGCCCGAAGGAGTCGACGGCTCCATCGGGAGTCAGGGTCGCGTCTACAGGGAAGCAGGAGC